TGGGGCAGGGAGAGAGGGCCATTGGATGGGTGCTGGGTGCATTGGGGTGAAGGTGGGGGTGGGTGCTGGCTGCATTGGGGTGAGTGCAGGCTACACTGGGGAAGGGGCAGTGGGATGACTGCTGGGCACATTGGAGTGAGTGCAAGGTGCATTGGGGAGGAGGTGGTGTGGGCATAGGGGACATTGGGGTGGGTGCAGTTTGCATTGGGGAAGGGGCAGTGGGATGGTTGCTGGGTGCATTGGGGCAGGGGGAGGGCGGTTGGATGGGTGCAGGATGGATTTGTGGGGTGGATGCAAAGTGCTTTATGGGAAGTAGCAATAGATGGGGCAAGGATGAAGTGGGAACCTGGTGACTCTTCTGTGTCATTTGAAGGTGACAGGGTCCCCTTCTGTCTGGGGTGTGTATGTGTCTCTGGTGGGGTGGGGAATGTTGGTACTGACGAGGGTCCCCCTTACTCTGTTGGTGTCTGGTACAGAGAGCGGTGCCTGATTCACTGTCTGCTGCTTATTTTCCAGCCCCCTCTCCTATCTCTGCAGATCCAGCTGGAACCCAGTTCTCCAGGTTTCACACTCTGAGCCCCTCGAGGACCGGCTCTCATCAGGGTTTCGCTGGGGCTGGCAGTGGGGGGTGGAGGCGCTTCTGGCTCTCTGCCACCGGAGATTCTTCTCCACCCCCTCGCCGAGCCCCCTTCCTGGCCTTTGGTCTCTGTCTCAGATTGCTGAATCCCCGTGGTCCTGATTCTCTCTTCGGGGGACCGAGCTAGCACCTTGCCCCATCCTTTGACTGGGCAGCAAGACGTGGTTCAGACGCTGGTACGGGAAGGGACGTCCATCTCTAATATCTCCTCCAGCGCTGCTGCAGTGGATCCCTGAATATCCTCTCGTGCCTTGTCGCTCAATGCCCCAGCCATTCTCCAAGCTCCTGCTGTAACCCAGAGCTGCCGCGACCATTCCCAATTCCCTGCCTGCTCATGGCTCGGGTGTCAGTGTGACCCAGTGAATGGGCCCACCACTAGGATGCCTGCGTCCCTGTGAAGGCTCTGCCTGCGGCCTGCCTGCTGAAGGAGACCTGATATTGCCAAGGGGAAGAGTGTTGTGGGGGCCCCACCATGGGGGACTCAGACCAGCGGCTGGTTCTGGGCATGAACGTGGGGGACGGGCGCCAGACGCCTCCTGGGGAGCTGCGGACACCCACGCAGGAGGGTGAGGAGCTCAGGGCTCCTATTCCCGAGGATGTCTGCAGTGGTGACGAAACCAAAATGCCTTCGATGGACCAAGATGATGTGGAGGAAGAGTTGGACCCCAGGATACAGGTGAGGGCTGGCTGGACCTGGCTTCCTCTAATGCCATTGGTCACTGGTGTGGGTGTGAGTAGTTCCCATTACAGAAGGCAGTAACCTGTCCTTGGGGGATTAGTTGGGTGGTAAACTGGTGCAAGTTCCTGTGTGGACACTTGTAATCCAGTTCATAACAATTTACCTTAATCTGATTTTTTCACTGAGGGCTTGTCTACATGGAGAGGTTGACCAGCAGAGCTATAGTGAAATAATTATCATGCTGTAGCTATGTTGATATCACTCCCTGTGTGGACATGCTATTCTGGAATAAAAATGACTTTCTTCCAGAAGTTTGAGAGACAAGGTGGTGAGGTAATATCTTTTATTGGGCTGACTGAGCTTTCAAGTTACATGCAGCTCTTCGGGTCTGGGAAAGGTACTCCTAGTGTAACAGCTAACAAGGTTGAAGGGATAGTTTAGTGTAAATAGTTAGCACATATTCTAAGGGGCCATTCAAGGTGAAGTGGCCTGTTAACACAGAATAACAGAAGTTGTCCAATAAAAGATATTACCTCACCCCCCCTTATCGCTCTACAACAACACTCATCCCAGAATAATTACCTGCAAGTAAATATCAGGAAACAGTCACTTTTATTTCTGGACTAGCATGCCCTCATGTGGGGTACACTGGCCTAGCTGTACCAGGATAATAGACAAGCCCTGAATTAAATTGAACTGATTTATAAAACATCTTTGAATCGGATTAAGGCTTTGTCTAGATCAGGATTTAAAGGTGTCCTTTGATCCTGTTATCTCACTTGATCTAATTAACACCTCCTGGGACTCCAAGACAAAGCAGCTGTAACTGTAGCCCGTGCTAAACTGGTGGAGTTAAAAGCCTTCCTAGGATCCTGGTTGTAGGGCTGGAAGGGACCTCTGGAGATCCTATAGTCCAGCCCTTGTAGTCTGTGTCCGCCTTAGAGTAGGGACTGTCTTTCTTTATGTGAGTGTACAGTGCAGCCCCTAGGGGCTACCATAATGTATGTGACTCAGGTCGCGATCAGAGATACAGGATCCTTGGTGCAGGGGCCCATCCTGCCGCCTCAGGGAACAGCAGAGCTCGGGTGCTGTTACCCAGCTCTGATCGTCAATAGATCTCTGAGTGCATTAGGTCTCTCGGCCAGGCCCTCGTTGTCTCACATCTCAATTGTTGCATCATCCTCCTCCCTGGCTGGGACCAGTCCCATCTTTTTACCCAGCTTACGTTTGTTCAGAATGCTGCTGCAAAGATCATTTTCCTGTGACCCCTCCACCCCTCTCTGCGAGCTCCCCATTGGCTCCCCTTCGCATCACACACAAACCGCTTGTCTTAAGGCTTTTCATGGCCCTGTCTATCATTCCCCCCCCCCCCCCCCCGCGCTATCGAGATGTGGAGCCCAGCCTCCGCTCTGCCAGTGACATCAGCCTTCATCACCCATTTGGTAGATTTTTCCCAGCAGCACCTCCCTGCTTCCTGCCATGCCACCCCTGTCTGGAGGAGGGGGAGCAGCAGCTCCCATAAACACCCACAAAGCTACCTCACTGCCCTCCTTCAAGTGCCTCCTTTGCCACGATGCCTACATGACGCTCAACACTGGCTAGGAGCTGCGGCTGCTATCGCGCTGATCGAAAGTGACTCATGGTTCCTTTGTGCTCCCCATCCGTCTCTCTCAGCCCGTTGTCTCTTGTCTAATTGGGGGCACATCTACATTTCTGCAGGTGTTGTACATGGTGCCTGGCACGATGCGGCCCTGAACCATGACTATAATGCATGTTGTGTGTCAGAGACACGTTACCATCCGAGAGCATGAGTCCCTGGCACAAAGCCCTGTCCTGTCTCCTCAGAACAGGTACACACAATGGTCCCCACCGCTGATCTAGCACTTTTCACCAGCAGATCCAAGTGGATTACAAATGTATCAGCATTTCACAGATGGGGAAATGAGGCACAGAGGAGCGAGGCGACTTACCCAAGGTCACCTAGCAGGCCAGTGGCACAGCCTGGAATATGCTCTGTGCACTAGGCCGCGCTGTGTTGTTCATGGTGCCATCCCTCACAGCTGTGCTGGGAGAGGAAGGGTTGCATGGAGGGGTTCTCGCAGGCTGGGAGGGGAGACCCGTCAGGGTGGCACTGTCCCGCTGAGCAGGGTGTGGCGTTGGGGCAGGTCCCTGAGCCTCATGCTCTGCCTCCCCCCTGCAGGAAGAGCTGGAGCATCTCAACCAGGCCAACGAGGAGATCAACCGGGTGGAACTGCAGCTGGACGTGAGTGAGCACTGGGCTCCCTGCAGGGTTGACCGCCGTGCCTTCGACTGAGCATGACCCTGCCACGACCAGCCTCGCGTTACAGCCCTGTCCAGGCCCCGGAGACACCCTGCAGCTCTCACCGATTGTTTCCGTGCTGGGCCAGTGAGCCTGGCTGTTCCTTTAGGGTGGTCACAGCCCTTACTGGGCATTCATTGACCCTTGGAGCTGCTTCCGTAGCCCCTGCCCTGCAAAGCTAAGGGGGCCGGGGTGCTCTCTGGCAGTCTGTCCCAGTGTGGGGCCTGTGCTGCAGGGAGCGGAGTGGGGCTCAGTTGGGGGTGCTCTCCCTTGGCAATCACTGCTGGCCCCAGTTCCCCAGTTTGACGCTAGAGGGTGTTGTGCTACAGGTTGCGGGGCGGGGAGCTCAGCAGGGGGTGCTCTCCCGTGGTGGTCAGTACTGGCCCCAGATCAGCATTAGGGGGTGCTGTGCTGCAAGGAATGGGGTGGGGGCTCAGCAGTGGGCGCTCTCCCCTGGCCGTCAATGCTGGCCCCAATGCTGCTGCTCTCCTCCCCGCTGCAGGAAGCCAGGACCACATACCGCAGGATCCTCTCTGAATCCGCCAGGAAGCTCAACACCCAGGGCTCCCAGCTGGGGAACTGCATCGAGAAAGCACGTCCATACTATGAGGCCCGTCGCCTGGCCAAGGAGGTGTGAATGCTCCCCTTTTCCCTGCCCCCTGCCTGGTGTAGTCCCCGCCCCGTGATATGCCAAAATCAAACTCCTGGGTTCTGTCCTGGCCCTGGGGAGCGAGTGGTGTCTAGTGGGTTAGAGCAGGGGCTGGGAGTCAGGACACCTGGGTTCTGTTCCTGCTCTGGAAGGGAGGTGGGGTCTAGTGGTTAGAGCGGGGGGACTGGGAGCCAGGACTCCTGGGTTTTATCCCCAACTCTGAGGGGGGAGTGGGGTCTAGTGGTTAGAGCATGGGGGCTGGGAGTCGGGACACCTGGGTTCTATCCCTGCTCTGGGAGAGGAGAGGGGGTAGGAGTCCCTTGCCCTGCGCTCGCGCGCGCGCTCTCTCTCTCTCTCTGTGACTTTCCTCTCCCCTTCACGCAGGCCCAGCAGGAGACGCAGAAGGCAGCGCTGCGGTACGAACGGGCGGTCAGCATGCACAATGCCGCCCGTGAGATGGTCTTCGTGGCGGAACAGGGCGTCATGGCCGACAAGAACCGGCTTGACCCCACCTGGCAGGAGATGCTCAACCATGCCACCTGCAAGGTGAGATGTCAGGGTGGGGCTGGACGTTGTACTACCCACGTAGGGGGGGAACCACACCACCTGCAAGGTGAGACATGGGAGGGAGGGAGTGGGCTGTACCAAGCATGGGGATGGGGGAGAACCATGCCATTGGGAAAGTCAGACATGGGGACTGGCCAGGGAGCCATACCAATCACAAGGGCCAGGGGAATTATACCAACCACATGGAGGTGCTGATGATGTGACCTGCTAGGGGAGAGCTGGGGGACCACACTGGCTGGGCACAGGGGGAGGAGGACTTTGCCATCTGCATGGTGAGAGCTGGGAGCATGGAGCTCAGGGACATGGTGGAGGCGATAACCAAATGATGACGCCATCTGCCAGAGGAGGGGTGGGGGTGCAGGTGCCACAAGGACCATACCAACTGCACAGAGAATGGGGGGTGGTAGGCTGTACCCCCCGGGGGAGGTGACAGCCTGAGTCCGTGTTGGGCAGGGACGGACGGGGAGGGGTGATGGAACTGGATGCGGTGGGAGGGTGGGGAGTGGATGGAGGTGACTGAGATCTGCAAGGCTCTGAGTGTATGTGGGGGCGCAGGCTGGGTGGGAATGGGGGCCCGCTCTGAGCTGCGTGTCGTCCTGCTCCGGCTGTAGGTGAATGAGGCAGAGGAGGAGCGGCTGCACAGCGAGCGGGAGCACCAGCGCGTCACCCGGCTTTGCCAGCAGGCTGAAGCCAAGGTGCAGAGCCTGCAGAAATCCCTCAAGCGTGTCATCGTAAAGAGCAAGCCCTACTTCGAGCTCAAGGCCCAGTTCAACCAGATCCTCGAGGTGAGGCGTTACAGCCCCACTGAGATCCTGGGGTGCACACACCCACACCCCTGCTGATATCCTGGCATCCCCAAGGGGGGCCGGGACATGTGCACGCCTGCCCCCACTAAGATCCCGGTGTCAGTGCTTTGGGGGCCATGTGTGTGCAGCTTGGGTGAGATGTACCCACCCCCTGAGATCTCACAATGCCCTGGGTGGCACGTGTTGCTGCTCCCTACCCAGGAAGGGATGGGGTTTCTCATGGCTGCTGCCCTCCCCTGGCTGTGGGGCCCGGGGCAGGGGAGCAGGGAGAGATGTGAGGCTGTGATTGGGTTTGGAGAGGGATGGGGTGCGTGTGTGTGTTTGTGCCTGTGCATGTGCGGGATAACTGCGAGGAAGAGTGGGGGCGGGGCTTAGCATGCAAGGGGTGGACTGAATTTATAGGATGGAGATAGGGGGTGTCTTTCTATCCTGGTTTTGCCTGCCCTCCTCCCCCCCCCCCACACACACACACATCCCCAGGAGCACAGGGCCAAGGGGGCTGGAGTGAAGAGGTGGGATGGGCAGGGAGGGTTTGGGGGTGCTATGTGGCGGCAGAGGGATCTGTGTAACTGCTGATGTTCTCCAACCCCCAGGAGCACAAGGCCAAGGTGACAGGACTGGAGCAGCGGGTCTCCCAAGCCAAAATGCGCTACTCGGTGGCGCTCCGTAACCTGGAGCAGATCAGTGAGCAGATCCATGCCCGGCGGCTGCAGCGCCTCATCCAACGCCGGGCCTCTCCAGTAGGGGCAGAGGCGGGGGCCGGGCTGGGCGCCGAGTGCCCCCCCACGGACACACTCTCCATGCTCAGCTTGCAGACCATTGCCTCCGACCTGCAGAAGTTTGACTCGGTGGAGCATCTGCTGGGGCTGTCGGACGCCACCAGTCTCAACAGCGATGAGCTGGAGGAGCAGGAGCAGCGCCGGGGTGGGCAGAGCCAGTTCAAGCACCACCGCAGCGTCAGCCTCTAACCCACCTCCCTGGCCCTTCCCCTCGGCGAGCCCAGCCGGAAGGGGCTGTGCCAGCCGGGCGAGGAGGGAATGCTGTGGCTGGACACTGCGGCACTGGGGGGTGGGGCGGACAGCCTTCTGTGAAGGACCCCTGCTTCCTAAGGGGGGGCCCAAAGACACTACACCTCCCAGAGGGCATTGCTCATCCTTTCCTCCCCCTGCCCCATGTGTGCCCTCTGCCACTACACCTCCCAGAGGGCATTGCCCATCCCCTCCCCCCCCAGGTGAGTGACCCCTGACACTGCACTGGGTGACCTCTGACACTACACTTCGCAGGGGGTATTGCTGTACTGACACAAGTAGCATGGAGGCTGCTGATTCCAGCCAGCAGGGCTTTCTGGGTCCCCTGCGGTAGGGCTCCATGCTGGAGCCAGGAGCAGACACTGCCCTTTGCTGGAGCAGTGTTACCTGCAGACCCCGCTCCCAGCATGCACTGAGCAGAGCACCCAGTTCCCTTATGTGCTGACAGCCGGGGTCTCCCCAGAGCAGAGACACCAGCACCTCTGGTTTTATGCCCACTATTTGGTCTGCTGCCTTCGCTGACCTGGTTTCCAGCACTGCTACATGTCCTGGGCCGGGGGAGGGAGAAGCAAAACTAGCTGCTGTCTGACACTACATTCCTGGGGGGAGGGGGTTTGGCAGGCCCTGGCCTGGGGCTACTGCATGTGTACATCCCAGGGGACAGGGCGGGAGCTATGGAATGAGGGCCCTCTGGTGTCAGCTCTGATAGCTACAGCCTAGTTCTTGTCCATAACCACAGGCTGGTGAAGGTTGCTGCTGAGACATAGAGATGGCCTGGAGCTAATGCCTTCTCCTAGTGCATACACAGACTGGGCCAGTTCCCTATGCCTATCACGTGGAGCCTGCAGTGCTCACTGGGTGGGTCGCTTGCTCACCTCCTGCAATGTAATAGGGATGCTTCTCTGAAAATGTGGGTGCTTGGTGCCTGAGGTTCATCTCCTAGTGGCAGAGATTACAGGAGCAGCCTGTGCAAACTGTATAGCCTTCCCCACTGCTCACAGGCGGCTGGGCTCAAAGATGCCTGGAGTCTGCCCTTTGAGCAGAGCACCTTCACCCAAAACGTGGCAAGGAGCTGATTCCTTCCCCCTCCAGCAGGTGGCACCAGATGGTTCACTCTAGGCAGCTCCTTGTACTCTTACCTAACCCTGTTCCTCCAGATTTCCTAGGTCAAATCCCCCTCAAATCTTCCTTTATATTGAGACAAATAAGTGTCAAAGCTGCGTGGAAAGTAATTTGCACTAGTTGGTGTGGGGATGGGGGGGTTTGGTGTCAGTTGGGAGGGGGAGCTCCTTGTGCATATCCTCTGCCCCGGAGACCACTCTGGGCTTATCTGTACCCCCTGTGGTCTCCTGGGAGCCGGGGCTGCATCCTCTCTGTGATGGATGCTCCTCTTGGTGGGGGGCTGTTGCTGCTGCTGTGCCCTGGTGTGGTTTCACTCTGCTGTGGCTGTGATGATAACTGCCAGTTTGAGGCAGCCCAGTGGATCCGTATGAGTGAGCGGCTGTGCTGCATATTTTATTTAAAGTAAAGATGCCCCATGGAGATTTGTCTGTCTCTGTCTCATGATTCAATGCAATCCTGGATTGTTCACACTGCAACCACACAATATTGTAGCTAGTTCCCAGGACTCTCATGTGACCTGGGTACAACACCGGGTTTAGCTGTGTTCATGCAGTGGCTGTTTTTTGTAACGACTCAGCACTGTTTCAACCTTGGAGCTTCATATTCTCTGTACAGATTCTGCAAACTCAAGGATTAACTCCACTAGCTGTCAGGAGGAGTTGGTTGTTATCCACTAGAGGGAGATATTGGACAGTTTGCCAGGGTGTTACCATTTCACAGCACAGTCTCGTCAGCTGTGTTTTTTCTGACTGCACTGCACTGTCAATTTGTGTGTAATAAGGAAATATTTGCAGCCATCCCAGAGTTCCTCAGCAGACTAAGGGTTTATCTGTACTGAACATTTTTCACTTATGCTGATGTAACTCCCTTTGTGGGCACTGTTGTTCCAGAATGAATGGCTTTTTAAATTGCCTGTCACACAGGCCTATAAACTGGGCATCAACTTCAATTAAGATCTCTGTCTAGGACAGGTCCTCACATTCAGGCTCTGTCTGTGTCTTGCCAATTCTGCTTCACATCTCTAAGGTCTGGCCTTCGCTATCCATCCACACAGCTACAACTCTCATCCAGGCTCTCATGTCTCATCATCTCGTATCTCAGTCACAGCAACATCCTTCTCTCGGGCCTTGCCCAATGCAGTTTTTCCCTGCTTGGGTCCATTCAGAATGCCGTTGCAGAGTTCATTCTCCTAGGCTGTTGTTTTGACTATGTCACCCATTCTTTGAATCCCTCCTCTGGCTCCCCCTCCTCTATCACATCAAACATAAACTGCTCATCCAGGGGTGCTGTAACTATTTGTATAGTGGGGCTGCTGAAAGCCATTGAACCAAACTGGAAACCCTGTGTATGATGGAAACCACTTCATACCAGGGGGTTCAGAAGCACCCCCCACACCTATAGTTCTAGCACCTATGTGCTCATCTTCACTTTCAAGGCCCTTCATCACCTATCCCCGCCCTACCCATCCCCTCTCATTCACTATCAAGCTGTGGGTGCTTCTCTCCGATCCACCCGTGCTGCCATCACTCACTACATTTTCAAATAAACAACTTTTTGCTTTCCCCTAGGCTACCCCTCCCACTTGGCACCTGAACAGCTACCTCATTATGTGCCTCCAAATCCCACCTTAAAACTCTTTTTTGCCAAGATGGTTACAAAAAAACTCCTTGACTATGATGCTGCTGGTGTGCTGAGACCATGGCCTGTCTTGCTGACCAGTATTGTCACATGGGTTCCTTCTGCTCCCCTGCCTGTGTGTATCCATCTCTTGTCTTATACTTAGATTGTAAGTTCCTTGGGGCAGGGGTCATCTTTTATTCTGTCTGTGTACAGTGCCTAGCACAGCGGGGGTCTGGTCCATGACTGGGGCTCCTAGGTGCTACAGTAATAACACTAATAATTAATAATGAAGCTCCTCTTTGTCATGGGGCGCTGCTGAGACAGCTCGTCTGCTCCAACAGAACTGGACTGCAGGTGGGTAACTGGAGCACATTTTTGGTGGGCCCAGTGGCTATTACTGGGGTTGGGCATTAAGGGGCACATGGAGGGAAGGCTCTTACCATCCTATTCCTGTAATCTCCTTTAGCTCCCCACAGCTGTCTTTATCCCTCTACCCCTTCTTCCATCTCTGCTCACCTGCCCTGCCCCCTGGGGTGGATTAACTACACAGACACTAATACTGCACCCCCCTGTATGCCACTATATTAGCATGAACAAAAACTCTGCTGGTTATAGCTCAAGCTGCTCACGTGTAAAACCTTCCAGTCCAACCTCTGAAAAGCAGGGGAATGTCTAGTTAAGGGAGGGGTTTTCAGCATGACAAAACGCCCACACATCATGTTAACCTAGCTCCTTGACAGACTCTGCGCCATTGTATGGAGCTCCCTTTGCCTCCCAATGTACCTGTGTTTGCAGTGCACATGCCAAATCCCCCTCACTTGCATTCTGAGCGAAAACTGTAATTCTGACCTGAGCAATATCCCCAGGTATCTAATGCAGAACCTTGTGAGCGGTGGGAAGTATATTGTTACCCCTGTTGACAAAAGCAGCTAGCCAAAAATTGGTGGTGGGGGGGGGGGAGAGGGAGGGAGCTTTGAAGGTTGTTCCAATTAGGAGGAGCAACTGGGTGATTGTCAGGTATTTCTTTGATGCAATTTTATTTATTGTACATTCCTTGTTAAAGTCCTGCTTCCCTGAACACAAAGGAACCAAACAACATGGGCAGTGTCTTTTCTCACAGCTCCAAGCCTCTGTCAGTCAGCACCTCAGCACAAAACCTTTAGGCTCCTCCCATCACGACACACTGTGCTTCTAGGTGTGTCTGCTTGGCTTTCTTTCTCTCTCAAACACACTGTGATGGGTTGGATGACAGAAACCCCTTTGGGACTGTCACCTGATGTGCTGAGACTACCTCTAAGCCCGTTTTCCCTGGCAGCTTGGGACTTCAGTACCCTGCCTGGTTGTGCCAGACATGCTTGCCTGCTACAAACACAGACCCAGGTCTGAACCACGTCCCCCAAAAGCGCCAGGCTTAACTGAAAGCACCTTAAGAAGTGTTCCTGTCTCCAACACTCAGGTACCCAACTCCCAATGGGGTCCAAACCCCAAGTAAATCTGTTTTACCCTGTATAAAGCTTATACAGGATAAACTCATAAATTGTTTGCCCTCGATAACACTGATAGAGAGATATGCACAGCTGTTTGCCCCTCCCTCCCCCCAGGTATTAATACATACTCCGGGTTAATCAATAAGTAAAAAGTGATTTTATTAAATACAAAAAGTAGGATTTAAGTGGTTCCAAGTAATAACAGACAGAACGAAGTGAATTACCAAGCAAAATAAAATAAAACATGCAAGTCTAAGGCTAATACAGTAAGAAAACTGAATACAGATATCAGAGTAGCAGCCGTGTTAGTCTGTATCCGCCAAAAGAACAGGAGTTGGTAAGACAACTCCCACCTGTTCATGCTCTCTGTATGTGTGTATATATATATCTCCTCAATATATGTTTCACTCAATATGCATCCGAAGAAGTGGGTTGTAGCCCACGAAAGCTTATGCTCTAATAAATTTGTTAGTCTCTAAGGTGCCACAAGTACTCCTGTTCTTTTGGTGAATACAGATAAAACCTCACCCTCAGAGATGTTTCAATAAGCTTCTTTTACAGACTAGCCTCCTTCTAATGTGGGTCCAGCAACCACTCACACCCCTGTGGTTACTGTCCTTTGTTCCAGTTTCTTTCAGGTATCCTTTGGGGGCAGAGAGGCTACCTCTTGAGCCAGCTGAAGACAAAATGGAGGGGTCTCCCAGGACTTCATGTAGTTTCTCTCTTGTGGGTTGAAACCCCTCCCTCCCCCTGTGTAGAATCCCTTCTACAAGATGGAGTTTTGGAGTCACCTGGGCAAGTCACATGTCCATGCATGACTTAGCTCTCTATAGGAATGTTCCCAGGAAAGCTCAGATGTGGATTGGTGTCTATCAAAGTCTATTGTCAGATTAAGTGTTTCTTGATTGGGCACTTACTGAGAATAGTCTTTTCTCAAGAAGCTGACCAAATGCTTCACTGAGGCTATTTAAAATCAAACAAGTACACAGCCAATATTCATAACTTCGAATACAAAAATGACACATGCATACAAATAGGATGAATATGTTCAGTAGATCATAACCTTTGCAGAGATATGGTACATGACATATGTAGCATAAAACATATTCCAGCTTTGTCATATTTACATTCATAAGCATATTTCTATAAAGCATTATGAGGTGCAACATCACACACACACACCCTTCCACCAATCCAAACCCTGATCCCTGCATGTGAAACCCCTTGGGCCACACAATTCAGTTTATCCTCATGTTTTTCCATGTCCCTGCGGGTTGGGTGCTACTGATGTAGCTTAGGTCACTTCTACACATTTACTCTGGGTGTCAGGTGGCAGCTATGCCCACCACAAAATAGCAAGGTTTAACTCAGCCCACAACAGTGTGTTACATCTCCAGGGATAGAGTCTGGGGTGGACACCAGGGTTTTGCATTATGTGTGAACTGGGCCTAGTATATACAGGTTTTGTACCAATTTAAATTTATTGGTTAGATTTTGCATATTTACTAAAGTATGCTATAAAATATAAGCATCTTTATACCAGTATAAGGGCATCCACACTAAGGGATTTACAATATTGGGTTCTAAAGTTGAATCAATATAAAAACTGATTCAGGCCTTAGAGCATTTGGTGCATAAATTGTGTTTCTTTGGCAGTGCAATGAGTGTCCTTGTGAGGTTGCAGAGTCTGGCAGTGTGATAGGTTAACGTGCCATGCAAGTTCAGGTCTGTTAAAGACACCTCCTTTAAATGCAACAAGGAGTCCGGTGGCACCTTAAAGACTAACAGATTTATTTGGGCATAAGCTTTCGTGGGTAAAAAACCTCACTTCTTCAGATGCATGTGAGAAGTGAGGTTTTTTACCCACGAAAGCTCATGTCCAAATAAATTTGTTAGTCTTTAAGGTGCCACCGGACTCCTTGTTGTTTTTGTGGATACAGACTAACACGGCTACCCCCTGATCTTTGACTCCCTTAAATGGACGTTCCCAGACATTTCTGCAGTTGTACCAATGACTCTTTTGTTCTAATATATTTATAATCCTGTTTTTTTCTGATAAAAGGAAACTCTGATCCTATGGTGCCCGTCGTCTCATCTTCTAGGGCAATAAATACTTCCCAGGTAGGCAGCCACTTCCCTTCTATTGAATGAAGTCTCTGGAATCACAGTGGGTTTCAGAGTGTCCCAGCACTCTCTTCTCCAGTATTTTATCCAGTCTGAGTTTCCAGTATCCCAAGCCCATGGGGAGAGGCTTCCCCAGCCCCAGAGTTCTTTTTGTTTTATAGATTCTTATATTCATGT